ACCACCACCACCACCACCACCCCGAAACATGATGCAACACGATGCAATACTCGTAATGATAATATGTTCGACAAGAAGTACTAAATCTGCCACAGAAGGAGAACGTGGGGGGTAGCAACAGCAACGAACATAAGCACGGTTTGCGGATCCTCTTCATAAGATGAATTGGCGGACGGACCCTTTGCTTGTTAGGCGCGTTTGGAGCTGATAGACACACGTCATCCTAAACGCTTCCTGTCCCAGCTTAGCCGTGAAAACAGGTTTCGAGTTATCTTGATCTGACATAGGGCTGTAGGTGCCTCCAATGTTGGCACTAACCCCAGCCCCAAACCAGAAGTCCTGATTTTGAAAAGCTCTCATTTTCGCTCGTCGGTTTCCAAAACCAGGAGGCGACAATGTAGACCCTCCAAAAGGATAGCCCTAATTTTAGGGACGCCGTAAATTCATAATAATTTTTGGGAACCCCCTAATCATGCCAAGAAGCTGAATCCCATCGATCAGCTCATCGGCACTGACCTCTTAAGGACCCAGGGAACTGTGGTAGTGGTGGTGTTGCTGTAGTTGAACTAGTCGTCGGAGTAGGAGTGCTAGCAGGAGAACGAGGAACAGAGGTTCTTGAGCTGCAAGGCTCAGGCTTTTCGTGAAAAGATGATTGTCCTGATAGTGACCTTGCTTTCTGAGACTGTGCTTCTGCTTGGGAGGTTCTGCGTTTTCTTCTGAATCGTCCCTCCAATATGGCTGACTTCTCATGGGTCCTCTGGCAACACAGTTGGGTGTGATCTAGCGTCGAGCGAGGAGCACAGAATCCCTCACTCACGCACACACGATGTGTAAGGCAAGTCAGGCTTCACACTTCTCGCGTAGTTCTTGGTCTTTTGTAGTGTGCTGTCCCAGTGCTGGCATGCTTTCCTCTTCTGTTGTCGTGGTCGGCCGATGTCTGCTGCCAGCGTCAGCATAAGCATCGCCCCGCGGGGGCGTGCCAGGCCGCAGCATGGCTAATAGTAACTATAGTCTGAAAGCATTTGCAATAGCCGCGGCTATTGATTAGCGTTCCAGCATCATAAACATGGTCAGTATCAAGGAAGCTTTCCCACACATGCATGAAACACTGGCAGATGAAATCTGAGAAAGTTAGAGTTTCCACGGCAGGTGCGTAGACGGTGCTACCTACTTCAAGGTCATGCTTGCCGAAGCTCCCTCAACCCTAACCGCAGTCGGCATCATGTTGCTTCTGTGCGTTTGCTACTGCACCTTCTTCTAAGGCCTATGCAAGCAAAAACACTTTAGAAGCTGTGTACGCATATATCTATATATCTCTGTATATATACATATATATATACATGTGTAGAAAACAGGGTTCAGTGGTCACCCTAAACTGTAAAGCCCTAGCAGGTCTGGGTGGTAGTAATCTGCAGCAGTTCACCTCTCCACTGCCATCAGCATCTAGCACGAGGAAAAGCCTGAACGGCGGATGGTAGTGTAGGGACTTTTTGAGATTTGGAGAGATCGAGTAGGGATGTTATATGCATGGTACCTACATACATACGCCAATCCGAATTTCTGCATGCGAGCAGAAGGACTTCCAGCAACGCATGTCCATACATGTTCGCGCATGTACGTAGCATGTGCGTATGCATGTGCATGTTGACATATGTTACGCACCTAAATTATGATGTGTGCATGCAGAAACTTCTATGTGCGCATCTATGGTTGCAAAACGTATGCAGTTCAGTACACATGCATTGATGGGCACCTAAGTTCACACATGCAAAAAAAACTATGCAACTGCAAACATATATGCAAATTCGGATGCATCGGATCAGGGGTTGGCAGCGCCAACACTGACTGTTCCTACTGGCTCTTTCTTAGGTGGATCCCCGTAGCAGTCCCTACACAATCCGCACCTCAATGGTCCCTATAGCCCCTTCCCCACTTACTATCGACCAACTAGGGATCAGTAAGTCTTTCCTAACACTGAGCCAGGTGGCTCTTCCGCTTCGTCCACGCGAAGGCCCAACAGGGACAACTTTGCCAGCACGTCAGGTTGCCTGACAGCTTCTAGTGGTTTGGGAATATAGGGGACGTGAGTGACGGTCAAAACTCTTCACATTAGGCAATGGACGCCACATTGA